GAGTGAGAATATGTCAGCCTCACTAGGTAGCCCAGACCAGGAAATCAACTTAACAAGGAGGCTAAAACTACTTTTATTGAGGTTAGCTTGAATAAAAGAATCTTGCAAGTCTGATTATTCTGTACCTTTTCCTCCTTCTTGTAGTTCAGTGAATTAGCAAGGCTTCTGTCTGAACCACTTCCAAATGTCATTTTCTTCTCAATTTAAAAGACTTTTCAACCCCTTTTGCCTAAGTAATGTGGTTCCTGTACATCTCTATCAAGGCCATCTTTTATACTCTCTACAGAATGGGCATTTGCTATAATTTATCTACAACTGCTTTAATGTTGCTGGTATTCAACAAACTGAATAATGAAATTGCTAAAATGTTGTAATTATGGAAGGACTCTGGAGACTGGCATTGCATAAGTGAAAGTTTTATCACAATGCTGTTTTATTTATCTGTTTTGCTGACTGTTACACTACGAAGAAATGACACAAATAAATACAAATAAATATCTTTAACTCACAAAGAAACAGTTTTCCAGTCTTCTACTATATAATCATAAACTTTCATCATCATCTGGTTTCTCTGTAGATCATGTACATTTTTCTCATATTATTATCAAATGCAACCTCTTCACATAGGCCAGCAAGATTTAAAAAGGTAGGGCAGATTAATCCAGCAATGTAGCCATATTGTGCTTCTAGAGTCATTTGGCAATCCCTGAGGAATGACTAGCTTTTGGCATCATAAATAAGAAATCATTCAGATTTCCTTGCCTGAAATAGGGTTCCAAGGAGCTATATTTTTCAAGTTGTAATGGCAAACTATATAGGTAAGGAAGGCTGAGAAATGTCTCTTAATATTTTTTTTATCTGTCTAGAGAAAGATTCCACAGCTTTATGTTAAGCTCTTCTACTCTAAGGATTTTATTGCTTTTTAGGAGTTAATATCTACAGCTACATCAAACTCTCAATTTTTCTTGTAGCTTCATGAGATAGACATTTTATTAAGTCATATTATTCCTACTTTTCCTTGTGGGTTATTTTTTTTTAAAAAAAATATTTATTTACTACAAATGCTTTTATGCTGTATCTATCGTTATGAGTCTAAGGGACTTTACAACAAAGAATGTAATTCACAAAATATCAAACAATCAAGCCTACCAAATTTTATGTTGCAATACCATTAACATAGATCATTACACCTTAAAACAAAAACAAATTTCCTTGCAATGCAAAAGCAGCCGGATTCCTTCCAAACATCTATCTTGCCTAAATCTCAAAGACACATTGAAAAATCCACATACTGCATTTAAAAACTCCCTGAATATTAGATAGGAGTTTGCAATTCTTATATTTGGTGGAAAATTATTCCCAAGAGAGGACTTGCTGCTCTGAATCCTCACCTCTGAGTCTCCTGGACTTACCTCCTACAGGAACTGGGGACTTGGATGTGAGCATGTTAGGCAAACAGCCAGTACTAGGGCATTCGTTTCAATGTTATTTCTCATTGTGTGCCCACTTACTCTCTTGTAATCCCTTCCTCTCCAAAAATGTAATTATCTTAGCAGAAGGGTGAGCATTCAAAAACATGGAAGAATGCGGGGGAAAAGGAAAGCTGAAGTAAAATTATAAGCACAATTACAGACCACTTCATTTAGTGGTCACTAAGTTACTGGTCTTAATGGTGGTTGCTAAATGAGGACTCCTGAATTATAAGCAGGTAAAATCCCAAATCTGCTTTTCAAAAGGCAGTTGGACTCTCTTAGGTTTTTCTTGAAAATGTTTTGCCTGTCATCCAAGAAGCTTCTTTAGTTCTGAATTCCCCACCATTCAGCCAGAACTGAAGAAGCTTCTTGGATGAGAAGTGAAACATTTTCACGTCCAGTTGCCTCTTGAAAAGCACCTTTGGTACAACCATGAACTTGATGATAGAGAATCTCCATAGATATTAAGCAGGTAAAATCTATTTAGAGTACACAATCTTAAAGATAGGGAGGCACCAAAGTATGTAGGCCTTTATGTGTAATCACCAACATCCTGAATCTCACCCAGAAACAAACTGACAACCAGTACAGCACCTGCAACTGGTATCTAATTAGCATGTAGACCACTGCACTTTGTCACAGGTATAGTTTTCATATACTTATTGCAAGTGCTCCTTTGAAATATCTTCAAAGGAAGCCCCATTAAGAGTACACTATAGTAGAGTATACTATAGTCCACTTCTAAGGTGTGCAGTTAACAATAACAATATATACAACGGATAAAATCACAGCAACCCCTTGTGAGGTGGAGGCCAGCATGATTGTACTCAGCTCACTCCACTCCGTTTTAACATATTTTCCTATTAAGATTTGTATACTAAATTAATATAAATGCTAGGAACATTTAGTTACATCACAAAATAATTAAATTAAAATCACTTGCCTTATTGTTGTCTATAATATGAAAAGGATGATTAGAGAAGAGAATCACATATGATTCCATCACTATATTCTCAGATAAGCTAAGACAATTTTTCCATTTTAAATATAAGTTTAATTATAACAGACTGGGGAAATGCTTTGAACAATATACTCTGACCTTAGCAAAGCATTTGAGAGTCCTTCAAGATATCCTCAATAACCAAATGATTAAATACAGGCTAGAAGATCCACCTGTTATTGGATTCATAATCGTATGAATGATTGCAGCCTGAGAATACTCATAAATGGTTCCATAAAAGCTCAGAGAATACTGCCGAGTGGAATGCCAGCGGGCTGTTCTGGGCCCTCTGTTGTTCAACACTTTTATTAATGATCTGGATAAAAAGATAGAAGGCATCATTATTAAAGTTGCAGATGACAGAAAATTATAAGGAAGAGATGGCATTTTCACAGAAAAATATTCAAAAATATCTACACAGGGTTGAGTAATGGATTAAACAAGCAGAATGAATTTTAATACATTTACTGAGAAATGTAAAGTCTTGCATTTGAAAAAAATGAAAAGCACAGGTATAGGTTAGGGAACTTAGTTCAGTAATAATACCTGCAAAAATGATCTGGATGTTCTAGGATCAGCTCTACTTCAGTATCACCCAACAGGATGATGCAGCTGATTAAAAAGGCAAATGCTGTTTTGGGATGTATTAATCAGAGTAAAGAATGCAGCTATGGGAAGTAACTGTTCCACTTTATTCTGCCTTGGCCAGGACTCACTTGGAACATTGTTCCAGTTCTGAACGCCATGGTCTAAAAACGTTTTCAACAGTCTAGAGAGAGTTTAGATGAGGGCTACCAAAATAATGAAAAAACTGGAAAGGTCTTTCTCATGTCTTGTGAGGAATGGTTAAGGAACCAGGAATGAGGTATGTATAAAGAAGAAATGACTGAGATAAGATATCCTTCAAATATCCAAAGGTTCTTTATATTTACCCTCTTTTGTTACCGAGAGCAACAATGGGTTGAAACTGCAGGGAAATAAGTTCTGGGTATATATTAAGAGCAATTTCCAGATGGTAAGGGTTGCTAATCAGTGAAAAGTCTGCCTCATGAAGTGGTACATTCTCTTCACTGGAGGTCTTCAGAGACAGACCGAACAGCCATCCGTCCAAAATGCTTTAGCAGAACCTGGATCAAGCAAGAATTTGGACTAGATCTTGTAACTTATTTGAAGAAAACTTACATTTCCTCTTAGGAAACAGAATAATAGTAGCAGCAACATCATGAATAATATATAGTCGTATATGTCAAATCAACCTTTATTGTCAAAGTACAACATGTGTACAATGAGATAAGCTAAGCCTCCCTTCATGCACCCCCCCGACACAACTCACAGTGACAACAAACACACAATCTTATTACACCACATGAACTTATTGCACAACGCGCTGGCCCCGCAAGTCTATCGTACATGGAGTTATTTCCCATTCAGGAGTCTGACAGCCCATGGGTAGAAACTGTTCTTCAGCCTGTTGGTGCAGCTGGCTATGCTTCTATAGTTCCTGCCCGATGGTAGGAGAGTAAAGAAGTGCTGACCAGGGTGCATACAAAATCCCCCAAATTTCTGATAGCTTATGACATTTTATCCAGTTCCCTTAGACAAAAATAATAGAACATACAGAAAATTAAATCAAATGTTAAAATTACAGCTTTAGGAAAGATTTAATTCAGTTAGACAGTAATCACATATTCAGCTCACAAAATAGAATGATTTAAATGGAAATACTAAATAATTACTTTATCTGCCCTAAGTCCTCACAAAGCAAGAATTTCAAAAAATATAATATGTATATATAATTGGCAAAAAAAATTACAAAGAAAAAGAACTAAATATCTGTTATTTGAACAGCAGATCTCCTTCAAATGTATATACCTTCACCTTTTTTGCTTCCATTTAGATCATCACACACACACACACACACACACACACACACACACACACAACCTGTTAAAATCCAGTAACATATAATTTTTTTATTCAGTTATGTTTCCAAGGGTATAAATGTTTATATGCCTGAATGGACATTTTTATGTGGGTTCAAGGATCTGACTGAAGCAGGTAGGGCTACCCAGGTTCCTTGGGTTTTGCAGCCCCCTTTTAAACTACAGTTTGCAAAGTTTGGAAGAAATAGTTTGGGTATCAGCCAAATTTCAGTGGCAAGCACTTTTACTTTTTCAGCTTCACTCCTAGAAAGTGAGTTTATATTCTTTTGTGGGGGCAGTTTGCGCCTCTTCTTTTGTATAGCAAAGCAGCTTGTGTTTCACCCGTTCTGATGTGTGCCTAACAATGTGCATTCCAGATACATAAGCACATCTTTATGTTACTAATTAATAGGCCTTCTGTTTATCTGCCTAGGTTAAGAAAAAAAGCTTATGAAATGAACTGGCAATTTACCATCACTTACAATTCAGAAACCTGACAGGCAACCTTGGATCGTCTTGTGATCCCCAGACAAATAAAAGCTTTTGTTTTTCTTTCTTCTATTTTTGGCCCATGGAACTTTTCCTTTTCAGAACTCATCTGATCTTTCGCTTCTGCTCTCAAAGACTTTGGTGAGTCTTTTCTCAATCTCACCAGAATCCCATAAATCCTTATGTTGGGCGCACTGCTGGTCAAACAGTCCACATTATTCTTGGATAGAAACCAGAAAGACCAGCAGTCTATTCAAAGCAGGTTATCCAAAAAACAAAATAAAATTAGAACAAAATTTATTTGGATTTCTTTTCTTCTTCCAAGTCCTTCTTCCGAACTCTCTCTGGAATTTGAATGGATGCAGATGTAAAATGAAGGTAAGGTGGGAGATATACTTGACCAGGCAACACCAAAGTCATGGCAACTGCAAGCGTGCCACAATATAGCACTTCTCTTTGCTTCTTCTTTGAAAAGTTAGTCTCTACTAACATAGCTCTCACAAATTAATCTGTTAAGATTTACTGTAAGATCCAATCATTATAAATGTTTGCCATACACTTGCTAGCACTTTGGTCAAGTTAAATTTGCTAAACATACATCCCTGGGAGGTAGGGATGAGAAAAACAGGCAGGTTTTTCTCAGCTTAGACTAGGTATATCCTCTAGGAAGCTAAGACTATGGTGTATACATAAAATGACCCATTACAATTAAATGAAGGAAGGAAGGAGAAAAGTGCTTACACTCTTGTCAGTAATTTTGCTCAGTTATGTTTGGCAAATGTAGTAGATATAATTTTGATAGCTTAAATTATTTATCAGAAATGGCATTGTTTTAGGTGGGACCAAACATTGTTTCTAATACCTATATAGCACTATTTTTTTTAATTCTGCTCTTAACACTGTAAAGGACATTTCATTTGCATTTATTCAGAACTTTATTAGTTTTGAACTGCTAAATGTCCAGATCTTAAATAACATTGGTGCATATTTTTTTCAACATTTTCATGTATGCCTGCATGCCCATACAAATGTATGGCTTTTATACGGAATCAGAAATTTTCTGCAAGCATGTGACCTGAACATTCTTTAGCATTTCAAACCCATTCCCATTTTAAAACATCGTAGTGTGATCCTGGCCTTTGTAAGAAAGATGAAGGTTATTCTGTGTAACTATTTGTCTTCATAATCACAGGTCAATTTCACAGAGGCAAAACCATACTTTAGGACCAAGCTATCTAATTTTCAGCATGTGTAAAGTGAAAAGATGTATGGATGGCATAATTAGAACAAACTTCATTAATTAAATGGAGGAATCAGTCAAGGAATTGGATATGGGACCAAAAATATGATATATATTAAAACAGTGGTCACAAGCCTATTACATTTTTTAAAAATTTCTGTTAGCAATTAGCTATCAGTGACTTTGATGTTCCACAAATGGAAGAGCTATTTCTAACTTAGCCTTTTGCTGGAACAAAAAAAGGATGTGGCTGAGTCTTTCCAAAATCTCTGGAATAAACTTTCATGGGTACAAGAAACTGCATGCAAAAAAAAAAAAATTACTTCTCTTCTGTTAGAGGAGCATTCTGTTGTTAGAATTCCTCTGTGAAGACACTCAGATGGAACATTAGTTAAGTTCTGTTAATTTTTTCTGATTCCTAGTATATGAAAGAAAATCATACCCAGGAAGCATTCAAAAGCCACATTTTAAATGGAAAAGGCAAGAGACTAGAAATTATATTGCAATCCTAAACATATATTATTAAAAAAGGAAAGAAGAAAGACTGGAGCATTCTTCTACAGAGACATGGTTAAGAGCTTTTTTTAAAGGAAACAAGATTTGGATTTGAAATATATAGTGTGAAATAAGTCAATAACCTCAGTAATTTTTCAAACAAAACTTTAAATATAATAGCAATTTTTACTATTACTATTTAGAGATATTAAGTACAAAAAAGAGAGTTTAACTTAGGGGTAAAATGCCTCCTTATAAAAATATGTTTAATTTCTTAGTAATTGGTTTTCTGAGCTGAGAAGCTATTCAACAAGGAATAGACATACAGAAGCCCGTACAATTATTTGCATTCTCTGTTTACTGATACTGCTTGACCATCAGAAGAAATAATTAGCAGATTATGTCTGGAAAATATGCTATCAGTTCAGTGGCTGACTTGAAATAGCTCATATAAAGCAACCCATTGATGCCATGCATACTCACTGTCTTGAGATATGACACAACACATACTACACCCCTGGGGAGTTTCTCCTCTGTTCGTAAGCAGCATTTCACATCTGTGTTTGACAGAAGCACAGAAGAGCATACTGTTCAACATTCCTACCAAATGCAGGCTGTGCAGGTGAAAAGTTAAAGCAGAATCTGAAGTCCATTTTTGTTGACCCTACCTTTTGAGATAACATACTTCTTCAATATACTGGATTTTTTTTTTAAACAGAAACAAGTTTTCACTATTGGAATTTATATGCAAAAGCAGATGCGATTTACTGGGTGTTCTAGCTTTCATTTAATATTTGATAAATGCTGAACACTTGAGTTAACTAGAATTGATGTCTGCCTCTATTGTCTGAAAGATGCAAAGTCCAGTTCTTGTTCTGTTAGCATCTTAAGAGAAGAGTAATTTAAGTATCACTTGCAGAGTCAACCCAAAGGATATGGAATAACTGGGAGTAAACTGGAAGCAAGCAGCCACAAGATGAAGCAGCACCAGCAAATGAGGCAGCCACACAGACAGTAGAGAAAAAGAAATTGGAAAGCTAGTGTGCAGAATGCATTTCTAATAGAAAAAGCTTCCTACCTGGGGAGCCAGTCTCAGTATTTGGAGAGACTGCATCCACAAATTATCGATCATCTGCTAGGTAAGTTTGTCTTTTGAATAAGATAATTTAGCTTTTCTAAGAAGAAGAATACTGCTTTGGTTTGTCATACTAGTGATTTCAAACCTGTAAGGTGATCTGTTTGGTTTTTGCTCCATTTGTTAAGACTATTCAAATAACTGATTTTATATGCTGTTTTGAAATCCATTACATTCCTTTAATTGGGTTTGCCTAGAATTGTTTGTCAAGATTCCAGTTCTCTATTACTGTTTATTTAAAGCTAGGAAATGAAGAAATAATACCCACATATGTAAAGCTAAAGCATTATTATGATTTACCAAGTAATACTTATTGTACTTCAATAATTAATGTAAACTATTAAAGCAGAAACTAGAGTAACAATATTACATTTTAAAGAGGTATTTTATTAAAACAAGAGCCATGCTTAAAATATACTCAGAAAGCAATCCAAAGCATCAGTTATGGTTAGCTGTAATGCTATAGTAACTGATGTGAAAGCATAGTGTTAAACAATGCAAGCTTAACATACAGTTTAAATGTAAGTTGAAGATAACAGTTCAGCAGCTTTAACTGTCTTACAAATGAAGCTCAAGAATGTACATTTATATTTAAATTAGTCAATTAGATAAACAGACTAGAAACATATAAGAGAGCCAAAGATCTCTGTTAAAATGTTTAAAATGGGATGTGCAAGATGTATATATCACTTCATAGATCAAATTTAAAATATGCAAGGTCTTCATTTTTTAAAAATAATATATTAATCTAAAGACTGACAGCCTAGTGAGGTTCTTGTTAAAAGCATTTGGACTGGCAAAACACTTAAGTATTTATCTTCCCAGTAACAGTTAAGAAAGCATCTTATCCAAATTATATCACAGGAAAAACATATTTTCACTTTAAAAAACATTACATATTTTGCTGATTTTAATTATATGATTTTGCTCTCTCCTATACTCTCTCTGTTTATTTATAATATTGTGATTTACCCTCTCTTTCCTCATGCTTCTCAACTGCTTCGCCTTCTTCCTTATCAAGTACAAACACACATATGCTCAAAGCATTATGAAGTGCTTAATAATGATGAAGTGAACACGATGGCCGGAGGGGACAAAAAATTGCCCACTGTCTGACCAGATGCTCAGGATCCTACCAGACTGTCAGGCTACAGTCGCATTAAAAGATTTGTAGCTGTTTATAATCCAATTAACACTTTCACTGTGTGTATGTAATCCTCCCACCAATGTCTTTTCCCATAATAAAAAGAAAAGTCCGATTTTCTGAGTTTGCTTGCCCAGCTGTTCACTGCAACATGTGCAAGGAAGTTTATTGGTATGTGTTTCTTTGGATGTCTGAACTCCAAAAGGGCTAGAAGTGTTTAAGTTTGTCTCTACTTTCATGAGAGGGTTCTCTTCAAATTACGAATAGTGTTCTTTGTTGCTTAGAGCTCCCTCGAAGCAGGAAAATTGTAACTCATGTGCACACGAGACTATAATTTACCAATCTTGAACTTAAAACCTAACAGCCAAAGTGGCAAAGCTTTTTGTGGCTTAGTTATAAGCATTAAGCTGCAGAAATTTTTAGGAGACTGAATCACTGCAACTTAGTAAGAGGTCAGAAACTAAATCTCTAAATCAATCTTCAAAAGGTTGCTTATTGCCGGAAGGGAAAAGGACAATATCTTTTAATAGATAATTTCAGTTAAAACAATTTACCCAAGACTCAGGTTATTTTTCCAAATTATTAAAACACACATAATCTGTGCATAAAACAAAATATCCAGTGAAAAGTACTAAAATAGCCCTATTCATTTCAGAAATCTCATATAATGTATACTCCCATTTTATCAAAGGCACCATTTAAACAAAAGCAACTTTAAAACAATGAAACAAAACAACATTAATAATGTAGCTGGTATTTTAGTGGCTATCTCTTAAATTTGAAGTATAATATTAAACTACTGAAAGTTATCAGTTAAGGAACTCAAAATAAAATCCTGTTTTTCCCTTAAGGGTTTGTTCACACAAAAATGCAGCACTAATCTGATACACTCACCACCTTTCCAAGTTTCTCATAAGGTGGAATGAACAGATTACAGGCCACGTCACCTTACCCAAAGGCACAATCAACATTTTAAACACACCTGACTATCTTCAGTTAACAGCAAACACAATTTTAATTACAAATATTGGCCTCAGATGGTCCTTACACAACTTCCAAGAGCAATGATGACTAAAGTACTGTACTATAACTAACCCTTAATGCGGTATTTAATCAAGACATAGAATATAGCAATTCAGCTGAAACAACCAATAATGAGAGACAGATTAGTTCACTTATCACTAGTAGAGCCTTAGATGTCCATAAATTCAAGTTCATTATTTCAATACAAAAATCATAAATTCCCCTTGTTTTTCAGTCTAATAATGCAACAGTTACAGTTGTAATTACATATTGTCCCCAATTATACCCCCAAAAAGATTTTTCTGGACTCGACTTACCCCATTTTAAAAAAAATATTCTTTGATACACATTTTAACATTTTGCAACTTTACATAATGTTTACATAATAATGATGTTCGCTAATGTATTATTGTGTCATGATATTAACGGTCACCTTAAAATGTAGTTAAATGATGTTCATATATTCAAAATTACTGTTCAGTGTTCTAACACCTATAACACTTCATCTAGAAACAGTTAACATATTTTAAAAATAAAAGAAATTGGCAAAGATATGTGTTACAGAAGAATCCAAGTAATGGTAGTGAAAAGGAGAAAACGTATTCAGAATGCAGAACCCGAAGCATATTTAATAATATGTAAAAATTTCAGGAAAAATAAAATAGAATTTAGTAATAAATCACATGTGAAAATTAATCCAGCTATTTAAAATTTCAGCTTTTCTTAAGTTTCATCTTGATGAAAAATGTCTGTTTTTTGCAATTCACACTGCTAGGGAGGAAAAAGATTAACATAACATAGGAAACGTGAAATCTTTTCTTCAAAATTGAATGAGAAAAAGACAGCTGTAAGAGCCTTCCACTATTACTACCATTGTCAGGATGGATGGGCATTACAAGTGTAAACATAGTTTCACAGTACAGAACATATCTACTATTGATAAAATAAATTATAGTAGAGGCTACATTTTAATATAAGACTATTGGCATTTTTTATTAATACCCCTGAACAGCTTTTCATTATGGAGAATGTATCAGTGGGATTGTAGTACAAAAAACTAAACCAAACAATCTGAATACTCATTACCTGGTGAGTTCACACACAAAGTTAAATCCCAGTGCTAATATTTTTAAACTCTGCTTGAAGATAATGTTAAGCTAAAGGTAAGCAAAGCATACTTGCATGTTCAAATCGGGCTACTGATCATTGTAAATAATCTGCACCTAAAATTATATAAAAAAGAAGAAAATACCATGCAGTAAAGTATTACTAAGCTTGCATAAAATTATGTTATATTTTTCATATGAACTCCTTTAGCAGGCCCAGAGCAAATATATCACATTTTGCTTCTTCAAATTCAGCAAAGCAAAATAGCAAGAATAAAGAAATAGAGATACACAATTTCTCATCGTAAGAGAAAGCTATATTTTCAAGAAAAAGAAGTAAACTTTCTTTCTCTAGGGAAAAAAAGGCTTTCATTTACCATATCAGCATTTTGGTGGATAAAATAGACAACTCTTTCCCACATGCAAAGCACCGAGTAGGATAAGGTGAAAGAAAGTGGATATTTTAGGGAAGCATCATTATTTTATGAATAAAAAAGCAGATTAATAGCATAACACATCTTCTGTTACTATTTTGTATCAGATTTTGATTGATGAAACAGAATCTTGCAAGATGGTATGTAAACATAAAACTGAATACTCAATTTTACATAATTTCTGTTTTGAATTTGGAATAGTTTCTTCTTTTTATTAAACAGGAAGCATAACTATTTAATGTGTAACTGCACACCATATACTGTAGCTACTCTTTGGAAAGCACAAATATTTATTATGCTTTTTTGATTCTCACCCAAAATATCCAAGTGAAGAGCCATAAATCAGTATATTCGCTCCTCATGGCATCAGAACCATAAGGGTGAAAATTTAAGAGTTATCATTCTAAATTATTCTTCATCTATAATTTATATTAATTTTAAGTTAGTGTGTATGTGTGTGTGTGTGTGTGTGTTTGAAATAGACTCCTGGTGATTCATGGATTAGTCCTGCAGTTTTCCTTACATTTTTATAAGTGGTTTGCCACTGCTTCCTTCTTTGGGCTCAGACTGAGTGAGTGGCCCAAGATCACCCAGTTGGTTTCTTGCCTAAGGGCTAGACCTCAACAGTCTTCCAGTTCATGGCCTTGTACTCTAAGCACTATATAAAAGTGCCCCCCCATCAACTAGAGTATCATGGGGGAGAAAAAACTAAAAAAATACACTGAAAACTACCACTGTGTCAGTTCAATTCAAAAGAACTGAAATTGTTCATAATGAAAGTAGACTAAAAATTGAGTCACTTGCTAAGCCTTCTGTCTACTTCTGTTGATGAGTTTATCAACCTTCCGTCACTTTTCAAATTTAAATGAAATGTGCTATTAAAAGAGTAGTTTTAAATGAAAGTTGTCATAAAAATTTTACGCAGAACTTATGTTTCCATTAGAATCAGGAAATGCATCTGATGATTAGCACTAAACAGAATTACAAATTATATTTGTATCAAAATATTTCAAGAAAAAATTATTACCAAGACTATAATGACAATCTGTCAACAACTGTAAGAGATCACTTTTTTAAATAAAAGAGAATATATTTTAACAAGAAATACGTATGAGGAATCATTGGGTTAAATTCACTGAAAGCAAAATCTTCTTATCAAAGATGGAGCCAACTTTTTATCAGAAAACAAACAAAAAATGATCAGAAAAGATTATTTTCTGATTGTACTATTTATTATTAGATTTATATCCCACCATTATTTAACAAGTTAAAGCAATGTATATAATTCTCCTGCCTCCTATTTTCCCCACAAAAAACAACCCTGTGATGGGGATTGGTTTGCAAATGAGTAACTGATTGAAAATCACCCAGCCAGCTTTCATATCTTAAGGGATGACAAATACTCAAAATTTCCTACTTTCAAGTGCCTTAACCACTTAAGGCTGGACTGGTACTCATAAGATTGAAACATTTTTGGCTGTCTCCCTAGAGGTGAAGATAGACAGATAGACATGTGTGTGTGTGTGTGTGTGTGTGTGTGTGTGTGTGTGTGTGTGTGTGTGTGTGATTTATTCCCAGAGGTTTGTTTCTTTTATTGCTTCAAAAAGCATAGGCTACACTCACGTAACTTTTCACATATTCTGACTTCTTCCAAACCAGTGAAAATCTTGAATGCACCATTTACAAATTCAAAGATTTGATTTAAGCCCACTAGAATTTACTGATATGAAAAATGTAACTTACCCCTATACATGATCACCATACTGTCATAGTGTATACTTTTCTCTTTGTGTAATTGTCACTGTATTTATTACCAGTAATCCAGGCCACTATGACATTTTCAGAAAATTATGGTTAAAAAAATCTAGTATGAGGTTTGAGATTAGCCCGTGAATGAATGTACTCAGGTTATTCTGTATTTTAATAGAATAGCACTGAGGGGATTTCCACAAAAAACAAAAAACTCCTATGTATTTCAAATATATGAATTTTATTTCAACACTGGAACTTTGTACTGTAATTTATTCTATCAGCAGGAGATACATCATATTGGTGATATCAATATTCACCCTGCCACATACATTTTCTCTAGAATCATTGCATTGCAGCATCTTCACACAGGATGTTTTTACGGATTTAAACAGATATTTAGTTTTCTGAGAATACATGATGTGCACAGCTTAGGCATTGCATACACATTTATGTTTACAATTGAATTTCAGTTAAAATGTTCATTATTGTTTATTATCCAAAGGGACAAGCTGTGAAAATTGAATATTTTTTACAAGAAAAAAAAAACTAAGCTGTTCAAAACTTTTAGAATCATTATAGCAAAAGATATAGCAAAAGGCAATGATATATTAAATGGCTTCAGATGCACATGTTTATGCACAAACAGAACAACATCTAGTCACTGTGCACAATAATATTAATGTTTTTATTTATTTATCAAATTTCTGAACTACTTATGTTACTAAAGTGATTCTGGGCAGTTTATAAAGAATATCATAAAATATAAAAATGTAACTAAAAAGCCCAGTTA